TTTTTTTCCAAATATATAAAATGAATTTTTACGAATAGTTTTAGTATTAAGTGTTAAATGTTAATACAAATTATTTGTCTAAATCTTTAAAAGTACACAAGTCTTTTTTTTGTATATATTTATTTGTTGATATTATTTACAATAATAATAATAATTGCATATTAATTCACTTTTGTGCAAATTATGTGCTCTTTTTCTAAATTCTTATCTCTCGTTTAATTTAAAGATCGAAAGATTATTATTAAATATTTAAAGGGAATGAAACAAAATAATTTTCCTAATAAAGATCCTTTTAATATTTTCTACATGTTATCCAATATTATTGATTTTATTCTAACCGTATTCATTTTTTTCTTTAATTAAGTATAAATATTTACTTTCTTAAGAGAGTTTATTATATCGATGACAAACGTTTTGATAACGATCGATAAGATCGATCAATCGATCATCTTTCTAACGATAGGAATGAAACAACACTCTGTGAAATATTATAATAATAATTAAAGAAAAAAAAAAAAAAAAGAAAAGCGTATACCATTTTATTTTATTCTATGGGATAAACCAAATTAAAATAAAATTTACAAAAAAGGGTCAGGTAAAAAAATACAAATAGAGAAAAAAAATATAAAATGATTGTTACTATTAGAAAATAGTTTAATTAGTTGTATTAACGTCATCGTAGATTTCTTTTGTCGTTGTTAAAAGCATAATGAAGGGGGGTGGGGGGGAGATGGGGGGAGGTGTTCAGAGTACGATGCAACTTGATTGAATTTAATCATGTCTGGACTATATCTAGGACACTACTCGATTTATATTAGACTGTGTGACATTTATCGTTCGTACATGTGTACATGTATGTGTGGGTGTGTGCGTGTGTATGTGTGTTATGAGAATAATAATCATCGTAGATAAATATAAAATTCGATATTAAAACCTTTTTATTGATAAATTGTAAATTTTGTAATTTTTACGAATTAATACGAATATGTTTGTGTGTGTACACACAACACACACGTGTGCATAAATGCAAATATCCATAGAAATTTATTGGATAATATCAATGGGGGATATTAAACGATTATATATTGATAAATATATAATATCTCTCTTCTCGTTATTTAGATTAGAAATATTTGTCCGATTAGATCATTATTTTAATCTTTTTATCGCATTATGTGTCTTTTTTTTTTTTTTTTTTATCGATAATATAATATACATTTTTTCGTGTTATATCCGTTCAAGGTCTAAACGAAAAGGCGGATATTCGGTTTTTTTTTTGTTTTTTTTTTTTTTTTTTAAAATTGGGATAATATTTTTCAAATCGACGACACTTTTTTTTCGTGTATTTAAAATTGATAAGAAAAAAAATAATGTCGAGAGAGAGAGAGAGAGAGAGAGACGATTTTTTAATTTCGTGGTAAATTGAATTTTTCGAAATTCGTATCTTAACGCGAAATATTTATTTAAATGCAACCTTCAACGTAATCACGACGCAAATTCGTTTAAATAAAATCGTATCATTAAATTTTGTTTATATTTAATTTTCAAAATTATTTATATATTATAAATAATTATTTTTCTCTCTTAATTTTGTAATTGGAGATTTAATCAAAAGATTTTTTTTTTTTTAGATTTTTATTTAAGATATAACTGAAATATTAAAAATAATTTGTCAGAATTATCGAATGTTTGCAAATATCAATTGCATTAACATTTCAGTACATAAATATATTCAAAATATATAAATAATTTGCCAGCAAGTTTAATCAAATATTTCATACATATATATTGTATATTTATTGTATTTTTGTTTATAGTACGTAAAAGTATCATTCATTATTTTGTCATCGATTGAACCGAAAATATATCCCATATATTTGACACAGTTATAAAAAAAAAAAAGAAAAAAAAAAATTAAAAATTAATCATTCAACTAACATTTTTCTTCGGAATAAAATTTAATACACAGAAAAAAGAATTTTTTTCTTCTATGAAAAAAAAAAAAATCAGAATTGCAATTAAAAAATCGAATCGAACGTATTATTTTAATCTCAAAACTTTTTCCTACTTAATCGTGTTTATATTTAAATGAAAATAAGAGAAAAATCATAAATTCGTTAAAAAAAACAAATAAAAACGGAAAAATAAGTAGCGATGGTTTTTACAATGAATGAATTTCATTGGCAACTCGAGTTACCCCGTCAGTTTTCACTTTCTTCCGAGGTACCTCGGACCGGTTCGACGTTCAATCTCGCGTGTCCTGCTTTTTTTTTTTTCTTTTTCTTTTCTTTTCCTTCTCCCCATTGGTCCCACCGATGTACCGTTGACAAGGATTTGCACTTTTTTTTCTTCTTATTTTCTTTTTTTTTTTTTTTTAAGGGAAACCCACGATACGCTAGATTTCATTTAACGAGTTAACCACTTTCACTTTCTTTTAACTTCCTCTTAGAAGGTAAAAGTTTATCTACTAATTTTAAAGAAATAA